TGAAACTAAGTGGGTGACCTCCACCTAGTGATGCTCTATTGAATGATTGAATTAGTTGTTATCATTTGTTTAACACTTTCAAGAAAAAGGTACAAAACAAAATGTAGTTGCAATCACAGTCATTTAAGAGCAAAAAAAATCAGTGTAAGTAATGATGAATGGACTACAGAAGTTGTCTGGGGGATAGAGACATGTTTCCTCTACTTTATTTCATATAAATCATGACAAACAATGACACTACTGATTAATGACAGCCTTTGACAGGTCACAAAAAAGACGCTTTCTTGCTAAAAGTCGGCACCCGTTGCTAAGAAAAGGGGTAACCCGCATCCGACGCCATCCGTTGCCTAGCGATGTACAAAGTCAATGTAGCAACACGGAAGTTTCCAATCCCTTTCATTTACTCTAATATCTATGCTTAAGCGCTTGTGGCATAGTAAATGAAAATCTAAGCTCAGCATTCATCATGATCAGAAGGGCACTGATAGCTCGTAGAAAAGAGAAAGAGAGAGACAGTCTAAGATACACTAGGGAAGAAGGATATGAAGACCAATTGGTGGATGTAGAAGCCATTGACATTGAAGAAGCAGAAAAGTACAAAAATGAACCCAAAATTATTTAAAAATGTCTCCCCTTCAGATTATCTGCCTGTGATGAAAATACTGAGGATACTCTTTCTACATTAGTGAAAGTATAAGATGAAGCTGAAAAAGTGGTTTATGAGCAACAAATGGAGCATCTTCACGATCAACTGGCAGCAGCACTCATTGATAACCAAGAACTTAAAAGTAGAACAAGACCATCCACTCTAAATCTTTCTTTCAAACTTTTTTTTTCTCCCTCTCTTTTCCCATCAGTGAAACTTAGATCAATGGAGAGTGGGGAGGCAAAGAGTCAGGAAGCAACTGCCGCCAAAACTAAAAAGTTTAGGAAATTCTAGAACTTTGCATGGGTGTTTATATTTTATTTTGATAGATATGGTTCTTACAGAGGGAGGGACTTGTCAACGTCAACTACCAGAGAAGGTTTTGAGAGTGTCTCATCTCAACCAACCATACCCACTGACATTAGTAATTAGATATTATTAATTAATTTATTTATTTATTGTATTTCTAGCTTCTTCCAGACTGTCAGTTACATAAGATGCCACATATGTGTACATGTACATGTAATTATCATTATTATTGTTATTATTAATAATTTATGCATGTATAAACTATGATGTACACAGACATGTTATTGTGTAATGTACATTCACAGTTCAAACATATTTAATTCACATTTTATGTACATGTATACTAGATTTGTTAACCTTTTTTCGTTAATTTACCTCTTTTTCTCTCTCTCTCTCTTTCTCTCTCTCTCTGTCTCTGTCTCTCTCTGTCTCTGTCTCTCTGTCTCTGTCTCTCTCTCTGTCTCTGTCTCTGTCTCTCTCTGTCTCTCTCTGTCTCTCTCTCTCTCTCTGTCTCTCTCTCTCTCCCCCTCTGAGCATATGTTTTACATGTACATGTCAATACATAAATAATTCATTAAGTGCCAAACCAAAACCCAGCCTTAATTAATAATATCACCTAATAAATAATAATCACCTAAAAAGCACATGGTCAAGCACATGTTAAGTTTATAGTGCCAGGAGAAAAGAAACCAATACCTTCCAGCATGTAGTGGTAACTGGTAAGCCCAGTTGTGTTAGATAATAATCATAGGCCCTGTATATCTAGTGTCAGCACACATGTAACTGTACAAGCCATATTGGTAACAACAGCTTTTTAAGGCAGGCAGGGAGGTGAGAGTTTGGCCACTAAAAACGTTTTAACCCCCAGCTCCGGTTCTCAAGACTGGACTGCCTAGCCTGCTGTTCACCACGGCTTTCATGCTAACACAGTAAATG